CACATTATTATTTACACGACGTCACTCTTTCATGCACATTATTATTTGCACGACGTCACTCTTTCATGCACATTATTATTTACACAACGTCACTCTTTCATGCACATTATTATTTACACGACATCACTCTTTCATGCACATTATTATTTACACAACGTCACTCTTTCAAGCAAATTATTATTTAAACAACGTCACTCTTTCATGCACATTATTATTTGCACGACGTCACTCTTTCGTGCACATCACTGATGTGCGTCTTTCATCTGGTGTAGAATTACGACTCGTGTTCAGACTCTTTGTCTAATTAATTTTTGAACGATGCACGATATTATCAGCATGGTATCGATATCGACTGATATTAGCGATAAAGTTAAATATTCCATCAAAGTAACTCACCGATATAAAAGGCTTCTGTTTTAAGTTAATTCTTAATTTAAGCAACTGTCAAGTGTATCTATTAATGCACCGTTACTTATTGAACAGGTGGAGTTTAGATTCCACAGCAGACACATCTAGTCTCTGTGAGTAGGTCTAGGGGGAAATATCGGTACTGGTATCGGTTATATGGGCGGCGGTGGCTGAGTGGTTAGAGCAGTCGTCCTCCAGTGCAGGAGTTGGGGGTTTGAATCCACCAGCAGCCACATGTTGAAGTGACCCTGGGCAAGACACTGAGCCCCTCGTTGCCTCTGGTGTGTCCCATCAGTGCATGTGATAAAGCTCTGATTAGTCTTTGTAGAGATCTAGTATAGAGCTGTGTGAATGAGGCACAGATTGTTGTAAAGAGCTGAGTGTCAGCTGTTATTCAGCACAGCCCGTCCATCGGCAAAAAATCCAATCTCGTGCGCCCCTAATGTTTTTCTTTCAGCTGCTCCTTCTTCAGGGGAGGCCACAGTGAAGGAACTCACACGAGCACTCAGTGGTTGTTTTACGCCAGATGTTCTTCCTGACTCAACCACAGACACCGAGCTGCCAGCCGGGGTGCTCAGGGGAGCAGGTGGGGGGGGGGGGATAAGGGCCTTGCTCAAGGGCCCAGAGAGGGACCAATGAGGGTGGAGACAGGTGTGGGTGCTTCACCCCCACATTTTGATGCTGTTGGTACCGGGAGTCGAACACCCCCTGAAGAGTCAAATGTAAGAACACGTGTTTGTTTGGTCTTCTTCAGCCAAAGTGGAAAAGGTTCAAAGTGTGAAAAAATAAATAAAAACCTCTGGAAATGAGTCGCCTGAGCTCCTTCTCCCACAAACAGCTGGAAACTAACCTCTGGCTGGACAATCACTGGAGTCACTTGGAAGTGGAGCATCGAACGAATCAACAGAGCGGCTGCGTGTCCTGGAAACACCAAGGTGAAACCTCCAAAAGGTCCCGCGTGAGCTCACTGCAGGACCACAGCGGCAGAGCCCACTGCTCTAAGATCTACAGACCAGCCACTGACAGAGCCCACTGCTCTAAGATCTACAGACCAGCCACTGACAGAGCCCACTGCTCTAAGATCTACAGACCAGCCACTGACAGAGGGGGGACTGACTGAAGGTGTGACCCTCCTGCTGTCCTTGGGTCAAAATGAGCAGGAAGGCCTGAAGCCTCGAGGTGCTTCACCCAAACACACAAGAAGGTTCAGTCGGAGGGAGCATCCGTCTTGTGAGACTCGTGCTCGCACAGGTTTCTGATCTGCCGTCAGGATGAAACCGCGTTAAGCAGCACTGACATTTATTCATTCAGCTGAAAGTTGCCTCAGTTTTACTGGAAACTTTTTGTAAATAATGTTGTGAAAAAGGTTCTAGGAGAATGAAATGCACATACAAGAGGTGCTTAAAGCTCAAAACAAGAGGGGGAACACAAACCTGAAGCAAACGGGTTTTATTTTTCATTTCAGCCGCATGGCAGATGTGCTTCCCCACATCTGGAGGAGATTTTCTTAATGATTAAACATATTTTTTATTTTTAGTTCTAAAATAAATCTGTAAAAGAAAATGTACCAGTTTTAGAGCATGTTAGGGCTTGAATGACTAGACAAAAAACATTAATAAAAGGTAAGATTGGATGATTTTTAATCTGCAGCAATTTTTCCCATCTGCAGTTCCTGACCTCTGTGTAGAATAATGATTATCAATAATCCTAATTCACTCAAAATTAACGCAGGATTGGCTGAAAATAAGTGCTGAACCCTGCAGCTACATTTCCGTCGGGGATCCTAAAAACTTTGAGGGTTGAAGTTTCCAGTTTCTGTCTCGTCCACACATGAAGGTGTGTAATAAAAACCAGCAGCCGCTCCATGAAGGCAGCAGCGCCAGGATCTCCGCGGCGCCCTGAACGCACCATCCTGCCGAGTAAACAGTAAACAACAACAAATAACCTTATTTATGCCCGCCAAACGCCCTCGTGCCACACTGCTTCACTGCCAGGCGACACTGGAGGAGCTTGACACGAACAAAAGGAGAAACGAGTGACAGGCAGAAGGGCGGCCGCAGGGTCCTGCTCAGAACTTTTGAATTAAAGGGGGTGTGCGCCGCCTCTGAAAGAGTCCGCGGCCGCGGGATTCACGCGCGCAGGCCCGAGCGGGCAGCACAACACAGCCCGGCCGTGGAGAACCGACCGGCCGCCACGCAGCTGGCTGGACGGCGGACACACGCATTGTTTCCACTTTAAATGCGGGGGATTAGCGTGCGAGGCGCGGGGCTTCGTGCCGTTTGGAAGCGGAGCTCCACACGAGACGGCTCCCGGAGTGAAGAGGGCAGCTCGGCTCGCACGGCGGCGGGCCGGCCTGAGCCCACGGCAGGCCACGACACGCAGGAAGCGCCCGCGGACAGCCCCACGGCTCGTCTCACCTGCTCAGACGACCTCGCAGGGCTGGACGCGGACGAACAGGCGGGGAAAGCGTCCCGGAGCGCGGCTGGCTTCTTCCCGTCCTTCACAACTGAGCTGGTGTTTTCCGCACGCGCGTGAAGCTGACAGCGACGAGGCGCAGCGCGACTTCCGGGTGCGTCTTTCAAAATAAAAGTCAACTCGGAGAAGGTGTTCCTTGTCGTAAGATAAACTGTTTACGTTAGAAAAACATGAACAAATCCAACAAGACCGTGGATCTTCAACTAGTATTTGTTTTATAGAAAATAAGTGATTTTAACATTTAATTGAGACGTGTGTGTCAACAACATCAAAGTTCATGCTCAATCATCCAGGGACAGAATCCAGTAATGGACAGTCAGGTCATCTGGACCATGGATATAAACACCAGCCACGAGAACTCATTTTCAAGAGAGACCTGTTTAGGAGCAAATGGTGGGGGTTAAGGGCCTTGCTCAGGGGCCCAGAGTGGGGCAAATGAGGGTGGAGGCAGGTGTGGGTGTTCCACCTTTTCCACCCACATTTTGATGTTGTCGGTACTGGGAGTTGAACCTGCGACTTTTCGATCACAGGCCCATCTTCTAACCTCTGTGCCACTACTCCCCAAGGGGTGGGTGGGATGGATGGATGGATGGATGGATGTTTGGATGGATGGATGGATGTTTGGATGGATGGATGGATGGTTGGATGGATGGATGGATGGATGGATGTTTGGATGGATGTTTGGATGGATGGATGGTTGGATGGATGGATTACTGAACATGCATCAGGACATTTTCCAGAATTCTTCCAGTCTCAGAAATTACTATAAATATAGACGTATAATATATAAATGCCAGTCAAGCTTGGTTAGGAAGTCTATATTTACTACAATGTGCTTTATCTTCTGTTTTGAATTGTTTAATTGAACTTTTGCACAAGATCAGCACACATTAACCTGTTGGGACGTTTTAAGACATACACAGCCGTACCTAATGTCACCATCTTGTCTTTTACACACTTCTTCCTTTCCATGGTGCTCACTGGTGCCCACAAAAAGCACTCTGTGAGAGGCGGGGGACACCCTGGACAGGTCTCCAGTCCATCACAGGGACACCTGGACAGGTCTCCAGTCCATCACAGGGACACCCTGGACAGGTCTCCAGTCCATCACAGGGACACCCTGGACAGGTCTCCAGTCCATCACAGGGAAACCCTGGACAGGTCTCCAGTCCATCACAGGGACATGAACGAGACAAACAACCACTCTCTCTCTCTACTTAGGGACAATTCAGAGTTACCAATCAGTCTAACATGCATGTTTTTGGTCTGTGGGAGGAAACTGGAGTACCGGAGAAAACCCACGCAGCACGGAGAGAACATGCAAACTCCACCCAGAAAGGCCCCTGGCTGGGATTTAAACCGACGACCTTGTCGTTGAGAGGCAGCAGCTCTACAAACGGAGGCACTGTGCCACCCCTTGCTAAGTTATGCTTAATATAAAACCCCTCCACTGTAAATTCATAGTTAGTAGGGACGTGTCACGTGCATGACACCGAACAGGACTGTGTCGTTTCTCAGTTCAGATCAAGTAAAAACTCAAACGAGGAAATCTTGAGCCAGAGAAATGCATTTAGCTTCAGTTAGTGGAGGAATGGATTTATGTCCCTCAAGCCAGTTACAGCCACGAGGTATGGACCATTAAGGCCTCTGCCTTAGACTGTCGCTCTGACCCACAATGCATTGCTCCATCGCTGCACCTTCTGCAGGTGGTGCAGCCACGATATGGTCCCATGTCGCTTGTGAGGTCTAGGTGGAGCACAAGTGTGAAGCCTCGTTTGTCTGTTAGTGGAATATATCGTGAAGCACTGCACAGATTTAGAAGAACCGCTCAAAAAGTAATCATTGGATATACTGTAGTAATCTTATAGTCTTATATAGTATCTTATAGTATCTTATAGTAATCTATACCTGATCAACTTTTAGAGTCACTTCAGTTCAAGATGGCTGCTACAGCGATCAACTTTATCAAACACAAGATTAGCTATAACTCAGTCAGCTTTACAGATATTCTGCTCTAATTTGGCGTGGCAGTAGCTGAGAGTCATTGTAGACAGAGTTCATGAGGGCTTGCAACAATGCACAAACATGTCATTCACAAAGGTTAACATAACCTTACTATTTTATTTATAAAGCACCTAAAAACAACAGCACGGCCGACCAAATGCTCTACAATAAAACTAACAAGCAGAGAGCACGGGATAAAATATGCAAATCTACAGAAGTAAAATAAGAAATAAATACAATGATGAATAGAGGTTCTCTTCACATAGTGTTGGCTCTAACTGGGAGAGTTGGTGTTTTTGTCATATACCGAATAAAACAGTTTTAAAGAGAAGCTTTGGTGCTCTGCTGTGCAGATGTTGAACGTTCCTGAAGAGCGTCCTGATGCTGCTCAGTGATCCAGGTAGATGAATCGAACAAGGTCCTCTGGACGGTTCTTCTTGCTGAAACGTTTCGTCTTTCCTTCAGAGGACGTGTTCAGCGTGAGGCGCTGCAACAAACTCAGGTCCTGTTTACACAAGAGCAACATCTGGAAATGCTCATATTTTTTCCATGTTTATTGGGTTTATAAATGGGGGTTTGCACAAAAACGCTGGTGTTTCCAGTCGGGTTCATTCGACCTCGCCAGACAAGAAATGATGAACTATAGTATTGTCGCTTACAATCATAGTATTTTCACCTAAACAGGTACATGTGCTGAGTAAAGATATTCTAAGATGAGGTGGGTGTTGTGTTTGTTGAACATGTGCACAGAAAAGGAGGGGTAAATAAGACATTTTACATTTATCTGGCAACCTGCAGGGCCCAGCTGCTTTCATGGCACACGCAGCGCCTGCATGACCCAGTCAAGTTCAAACTCGTCTTTATGGACCCTGGATTTGATTAGTTTTGCTCCTAATGCAACTGGTGGATCCACTATGAAAAGGTGTTATTTATAAGACTGAGCTGAATGCAGCTCCTCAGACAAAGTCTTTTAACAAAAGACTAAATGTTTCAACGATTTTTAAAATCCGTCCCGAGGACCTGACTTAACTTTGTTACATTTAGCTTTTAGTTTCTGTCCTGACATGTTGGCACTTTTTCCAAGCTCTGCCTAATAGCTCTTTTTAAAATAGAAAATTTAAAACTTGTCTTGTTTTTTTAAGAATGACCAAGAACCTGGATGTCTTGTCACACTCCATAAAAATATATGTTTTAAAAACACATTTCCAGTATTTTGCATTGTTTGAAGTGACAGCTTCCATGTAGCGGTCAGGCTTGTTGATGCATGAGCATCTCGTGAAGCAGCTACACCTGAAAATTGTAGCGCACGATTTCCAAGTTCATTCTGGTTTATTTAAGGAAGTATTTCTGCTATTCAAGTCAAAACTGAATAAACAAACAAATAAATAAACGAATAAACATTAAAATGCTGATTTTTGTTTTGTTTTGTTCAAGCAAGGTATTTTTTCATCCAGTAACGTTTTAATTTCAAATGTTTTCATGATGGTATAATATACATACTTGGTACAGTTATTTACTTCATGTTCAAACAATAGATTATTTTATTATTACACGATAAAATCATATTGAAATTACTTGATTTATTTTGTTATAAAGTGTTGTTTGTTGTATTAACATAAAATTGTTGACCTGGAAAATACAATGAACATAAACTTATAAATCTATATGACATAAATATTGGAATAATGCAAGATGTCATGTTACATGATACACTTTTTTAGAATGGCTGTGCTTCCATACAACTGTGTATTCTTGTGTATTCTTGAGTATTCTTGTGTATTCTTGAGTATTCTTGTGTATTCTTGAGTATTCTTGTGTAATGTGTACTATAGTTTCTGTACCGTAATGTTTTTAAACTTTTGTTTTTCTCGTGTAACTTTCATAAACTAAGACAATTTCACATGCGGAAGGAACAAATAACAGAAGATGAAAATACTGACTAATGCTGGAGACGCAGTAAATAAAATAAACCTTCTTTCTGTAGAACACGCGCGACTTTTATCTGCTTCTCAGCCACTTCCCAAGAAATAGGGTGCGCTTGATTTATTTTCAGGGGCAGCTCGTCAGAAAGAGCTTGAACGGAGTTTGTCCTTCCACCACCAACAGGAAGTAACGCGAGCTGTGGAAACACGCGCACCCTGAGCGGAGAGGGCGTTTCCTCGAGCTCGGCTCTGGCTTCAGTGATTGGCTGACGCTAATGGCCGTCACTTTGAGCAAGCCCCGCCCAGTGTCCCCGGGAAGAGAGGACGGCTGTTTCGGGCAGAGAACAGGGAAATGAAGTTGTCCGACGGGCTAGCTCGGCAGCAGCTCCTCGGTGCAGCTAGGACATTGGGTGGCAGCAGTTGTAGCAGAGTTTAGCTGGAAGAACAGCCATGTTTGTGGTCAGTTAGTAAGTGTCAGGCGGCTACAGGGCGGGATTCAGACTTATTTTTGTTATAAAGTAGTGACAACTTGCTAACCTGCACAAACCCGAGCTTCTTTGGGTTTGTGATCTTCTCTCGGTGAGTGTTTTCGTGCTGAAATGTTTCGGGTGGTTCTGAGGGTTTCACGGAGCCGGACTTGAGTAACCGGCGCCGCTCGCCCGCTCGTCTCTAACTGGGTCACGAGCTGAACTTTTGCAGATAGACGTGATGTAACTTGGACGTTTTGACGTCATTGTTCCCCCTGCGGTTCTTCCTCGTCAACTTTTCACGGTTCGGCTTTCTTGTATTTCTTTGGAGCTATCGCACATTTTAAGGTCCAAACTCGGTTTATGAGCGGCACAAACCGGGTTTTATTTGACGTCTGGCCACCATGACGACGAGTTCTTCATCTTTTTATTCACGAACCATGGGCGGACTGTGAAGCACGGGGGCCCCTGGGCACAGCCGTGAAGGGGCCCCCCTTTCTCCCAGGAGGACCCTACACCCAGACTGCCGGGCTGGGTCTGAACCAGCGGCCATTTTGTAGTTCTTTAGTGGTCAAGCTGTTACCTGGAAGATTTTATTAAATATAAATCTGACACATAAGTCAGTAAAAGTACTGTAGTAGAAATAGCCCATAATGCATTGTGGTCTGAGCTTACATAACAATAACAGGCTTGGCGGCTAATGCTAACATCCACAGCTCATTTTTCTGTTTTGTTTTTTAAACTCTACAAAAAAGCCTATAATCTATATTGCGTCTCATCTTGTTAGTCTCAGCTGGAGGACTTCAGAAATTATTATAAAAATATTTAATATTCTAAACTTAAAACGTGTTGTGGATCACAACGTAAAAGAAAAACTGCTTTTTACACGCTGTCTCTGAAGTTTCTGCCCCTGTGTTCTTTGTACTGCTTGCAAAATATCTCCTAATTGACTGGGCACATTTTAATGAAATTAAATGCACATCTGTAACGTATGACGTCGACTCTGTTCAAGATGGCCACCACAGCAGTCATTCAACCTTTATTTCTACAGGTTAACCCCACTGAGCCTCAGGGACTCATTTACAAGAGAGACCTGATTTAACAAATAGTGATGACAACAACAAAAAAAATCATAAAAATAATACAAATTGAGAAGAACAAATACAAGAAAACAGTAGTTAAAAAGAACATCTAGATTCTAAGGTGAATGTAGAAAACTAAAAACAGGAACATGTCAGCATTGGTCCCTGCCAGGAGTCCAACAGATGTTTAAAGCCACTTAGAGAGGTCAAAGGTCGAGAGCTTCAGGTCTTTTTGTAAGATATTCCAGGAAACAGGAGCGGAGTAGGAGAAGGTCCTTTTGTCTAGTTCAGTCCTCACTGAGGGAACACTGCAGGTAATAATGTTCTGAGAGCGCACGCTGTAGCTGCACTCACACAGAGACATGTAGGAGGAGATGTATGAAGGCAGCAGACCAGGAAGTGGTTTAAAGATGAAAATGTACCAGTGGGAGAGTGACGTTAATGATGTCCAGTTAACCAGTGAATACTGGGTGCAGTGGTGGGTACGATAATCAGAGCCAGTTATGAATCTTAGTGCACCATGATAGACAGCATCCAACATCTGCAGCATCCAACATCTGCAGCATCCAACATCT